GTGGGGCCCTGCCTTTCCTCCTGCTCCTTGGGCGCAGGCCTGACTGGTCCTCCGTGCCCTGCACGAGCCCACTCCCCCTGCCCAGTGGGGACCCTTTGTGGCGGAGGAGCGGCCTCTCCAAGGACTGCTGTGGCGCCTCCATCCACTAGGGTCCCCGTGGGTCGGCCGAGGGGTGCCCCTGGTTGGGGGGCAGGGCGAGCCTGGCGAACAGCACGGTGGGGCCATTGGGGACAGTGGGGAACGGGCGCTGGAGGGGTGTCTCGCAGGGGCGGTCTCCTCCTCGGGCTCTGCTGCCTGGGCTGTAGCAGAGGGGTGTGCGTGCTTGTGACGCCCGGGCTCCCACTTACAGGTGGAAGTTGGAATGGGGTGCTTGGGATGCAAATCCTGCCTCTCCAGGTCTTCCTCCCGACCTGTCCCGGCCCCCATTCCTATGCTTGTGTTCCTGCGGGGTGTGGAGGAGGTGAGGGTGCGCGGCGGCCTCTCTTCTCTCTCGCCTTTCTTTCTTCTCTGGCTGTTGCATTAGGGGTCTAGGATGCGGACCTGACAAAAGAGCCCTGGAAAGGTGATCAGTCTGAGCTGAAACTTTGCAGTTTCAAGCTGGGCCCGCTCCTTGTTCTAGCAAATGCTTTTTTTCTGTTCTCTCTTCTGCACCTCCTTGGTTTGGTTCCTGGCACACACACCCCCGGCCCTCCCCCTCCCCGAAGCTGGGTACCTTGCGTCTCCCTTGGGGCTTGGGCACTGAGAGGGTAGCGCTGAGCCCTGCCGTGTTGGCTGCCCCCCGTTGGCCGCTATGACACTGCTGTACTATCTGCCACCTGGATTTGGCAGGGGAGCTGGGTGTGGCCTGGGGGTGAAGACTCAGGCAAGCTGGGTCCTTACAGCCCCTACTCCCTTTCCCCAAAGTCTCTATTTGAGGACTATGATCCCCTTTCATGGGGTTCCTTGGGCCCCCTGGCACCTCTCCTTCTCCAGCTAACCTCTGGGTCTGGAAGGAGAGCCGCACAGGGCTGCCCGGGCCATCTGGCTGTGCCTGAGCAGAGCCTGACTTATGTCTGTCTCGGTGGTGCCTGGTTGGGGAGGAGGGGAGAGCAGGCGAGACTTGGCTTTGTGTTGAGATCGGTAGGCCAGACAGCAGGCTCCTGGACAGCCGGCTGAGGGAGGCCCTCGGGGTGAGGAGGCCAGGACTGGGAGTGTGGTGATGCCCCAGACCTCTGTCCTGAGGCCCTTGGTGGCAATGCCACTCTGGAATGGTGTTCCCCTCCACCCGCCACCCACCCCCACCCCCCACTTGTGATTGTTCTCTCCCTGCCTTTCCCCTTCCCCCAACTTGGGCGTGGGGCATCTCTGTGGCCTGGGGTTTGCCTACTGTGGCTCTTGTGTGTGGCTAGCCGCCCTCAGCTCTGGGATCTGGTGTTCGGGTCTCATTCCAGGAGGGCCTCCCGCCCTGCCTTTCCCAGCATCTGGCTCTGCTGCCCCCTTGGGTGTGGCCCAGTTGAGGCGAGGCCTCCTGGCTCCTT